GAAACGGAGAGTACAATGATGGTTGCCAGGGGCAGGGGAGGGCGAAACAGCATTATGTTGGTTGAAGTTTAAATAAAAAAAATTTAAGGAAAAAAAAAAGCTAGAAAAGATGCTTTGGCAAAAAAAGTATTTAGAATGGAGAGAGCAAACCTATCAAATTTCAGTGGACGTGAAAGAGACAAAGTGTGAGGTAAATAGTCCCATCTGGTAAGGAACGGCTGAGTCAGTAGAGAGAATCAGACAATCAAGAAGGGGATAAAAGGACAACCACACTGAAGTTCTTTAGGATGATCACTGAAGATCAAAGGCAAGAAAGGGACCAAAGGTAAAAGAAATTCAAAGGGGTATGATGTAACCACTGCATTCCCCTCAGATGCTTCTTCTGAAGATGGTTATTTGAAAAGGACTCCCCATGTACAACTTTAATACGGTTTAGCTCTGTGTCCACCAGAATCTCATCTCCAATTATAACCTCCAGGTGTTAAGGGAGGGACTAGGTGGGCGGTGATTGGATCGTGGAGGTGGTTTCCTCCATGCTGTTCTTGTGATAGTGAGTTCTCACAAGACTTGATGGTTTTATAAGGGTTCGAGAGTTCCTCCTTTATATTCGCTCTCTCTAGCCTGCCACCATATAAGACGTACCTGCTTCCCCTTCCACCATCATTGTAAGTTTCCTGAGGCCTCCCCAGCCATGTAGAACTGTGAATCAATTAAACTCCCTTTCTTTACAATTTACCCCATCTCACGTGGTGTTCTTCATAGCAATGTGAAAATGGACAAATATAAACTATAAACTTCATGAGAAGGAGAGACAGAACATGGGGATATAGAACTATGACTCCCTTTTCTTTTTCTTTTATTTTCACTACAGGAGATGGAATTGGAAGAGAACACTGGACAGGGTTGAAGAAGGAAAATTCTCCCCTATTGTGAACATGAATTAAGATGATGTTGCTGCAAGTCCCCTTTCCTTGAATCTGTCTGAACTGGGCAACTTGCTGCCTTTCAGTGAGTCAGGATGTTTTATTTCAGGCAGCAGGAGCTAAGGCAGCAACTTATGTGGTTGTGGGCTACAGGGAGCTCCTGTGCAAAACTACAGAATATGCAGAATTGGTCTTTGTGCTTCTTTTACCTCCCTTTCGGAATCTCTCTCCTACCTCTTGCTCCTTTCCCCATCTTCCAGATACTCAGCACCCCCATGCTGCTTTCACAGACTAATACCTTCAGCTCCCCTCACAAAGCACTTCCATGTAAAATAGCTTGTTTGAGCCACACCTCAACAAGCAATTCAACTTGTATGCTTTTAACACTCCTATGTTACAGAAATGTTAAGAAGTTATTTGCCCCAAGGTCATTAGTGAAGAAAATCTCAGAGCTGAGACTTGAACTCACATCCTCAGAAGTCCAGTTCTCTTGGGAGCACTTTCCATGGAAGAATTCTAGTTCTGATATGAAACTGCTCATTCTCCACACTGCACTGCCACGGCAGTCAGTAACAGAAAGAAAATTGGGGCCAGGCACAGTGGCTCATGTCTGTAACTACAGCACTTTGGGAGGCCAAAGTGAGATGATAGCTTAAGGTCAAGAATTGGAGATCAGCCTGGACAACAGAGCAAGATCCCCATCTCTACAAAAACAAAACAAGAAGGTTGGCATTGCTGTGACATCTACTTTCCCCATTTGCTCACTTTTATAAGCAATTATCCATTCCTCCTGGACTCAGCACAAACATTTACTACTCAGGCAAAAAGGCGGTTTGGCTCAGCAAGCTGGGAGTGATAGAAACTGTGAATCAACAGTTGAACAGGGAAGACATCCTGAAGTGAAAATGGGGAAGAACATGTGAGAGAAGGGAAAAAATAATAAAAAGCAGTGGGGCAGATACCCTGATGAGAAGGATTGTGCTTGAGGGTGAATTTAAGGGGGCCTAGCTGAGCAAGGTGGCATAAGCCTGTAACCCCAGCTCTTAAGGAGGCCTAGGAGGGAGGATGGCTGGAGCCAGGGGTTCAAGGCTGCAGTGAACCATGATCACACCACTGTACTTCAGCCTGAGCAAAAGAGCAAGACCCCATCTCAAATAAATAAATACATAAATAAATAAATAAATACATAAATACATAAATACATAAATAAATAAATAAGGGGTCTATTGAGCTTGCTAAGCTATGGAAAGAGGAGTATGATGAGAGGAAATGCAGGCTCTCTCAGCTGGGGACCAGCAGAAAAGTGGAGGGGAAAGCAGAGCTGATGTGCTGCATACCTGGATAGTTGTCTCAACTTGATGGGGAGAAATGCTCCTTGTTCAGATCTGTCACCTTGGTATGTAGCACATCATCTGAGGTAGCTACTATGTATGTAGTTCAATATATATTTGTGGAAGTAAACCTTAACATGTATTCCAAGCAAGAACCGAGGTCAGGAAAAGAAATGGAATAAAGTAAAATAGAATCTATGATATGGGCATGAGATGAGTAATTAATCACAAAAATAGAACCGAGGCCAAATGATAAAAGTTATTGGTATTCAGAGACAAACATTTGTTGTATTGCATTTGAGACGCCAAAGGCCAAAAGGAACAGAGAAACCACTGAGAAGCACCTGCTAATTTTATGAGGGAAGAAAGTGAAACAGAGAGAGGTGAAGTTCTCTTCCAAAGTATAAATAGTTAGTTAGGGGAAAAGAAAGAATTTGCACCTGGAAATGCCGATTTAAAACTGGAATAAGAACGAAAAGGCCAGCATCCTACCCCAGTCCCAGAGTGAAGAGAGCCTTGGCTTTACTTGCAGCAGAACTTGTTCAGGTTCCAGCTCAAATTCCTTTGTGATGCATGACAAGTCCTATAGGGTTTTCGCTTCTTGTATTATTTAAAACGTTTGGAGGATGATAATAACGACCCCCATTCCATCACAAAGTTGTTAGAGAAATTTGTGAGATACTATGTCAAAAGACTGTAAAAAATTTAAAAATTTGCAAGGGTAAATTATTTTGAATGTCTTTTAGTATTTAGACAAAAGGTTTCACTTTTTATAGTATAATTTTCCTTTATTGTTATTATTCTCATACAAAATCTGTGTCAGAACTAAAAACATTTTTTCAAACTATGCTATTAAATCTCAAGTGATAAATAAAATACTTGTGGTCTATACAGATTCACGTTAAAAAAAAGACTTCATGAAAACAATATTCTGCCTGCCAATCACATGGCAAGTCTTGTTTAGATAAGGTTTTACATTTTTTCTTTTTTCTATTTAACTTCTATCTCATTTATCTATATGCTTATGGTTATATGTACAAGTTTATCTTTAGTTTCAAGTGTGGCATCTTGAGAAGTTTTATTGCCTGCTGGACAGGTAGGGTGAATAGATTTTGAAGAATCCTAATGATTTTCCCCTTAGGGAAGCAAAAGGCTGTAGATAATGGGTTCCGAGTTTTCCTTTAGAAGGACTTTGAGTTATTGTTCTTGCTACCACATCAATTAGGGGGAAAGGACATTGTGAAAAGAGGTGTTTCAACTTTCTCACTGGGAATGTTGATGAAAGAGTTGATTCTCCTCCAAAGGGGGAAAAAAAAATGGGAAAGGTGGTGAAATAACATTGGCAGACAGATGAATAGCTGGCTATTGAAACCAAAATATGGAAAATAACCCAGGCAGCTAGCTACCTTGAAGGAAAATTATGTAAATAAACTTGAATTTGAAAGAGAAAAATGCTAAATACATTCTGAGAAGTCCTAAGAAAATAGGAAATATCCCAATAGATATCCTGAGAAAATTGAAATCAGAAGGAGGACTAATGATTATAAATCAAAGAACAAAACACACAGCCCCCGAGACTAGCAGGGTTATATATGGTAAGAGTTTTGGGGAGCAAAATCATGGGGAATACAGAAATGTTTGAATGGCTTGGACGAGGGTATAGGTTATGTTAAAACATAATGAGAAGCCTCTAGAACTAGAATATCAAAGAATGGTGATTTACCCACCAAAGATAATGGTTTAGGAAGAAGATTGACACCATAAACATTCTTAGAAAAACTAAATAATAGAATCAAAACACTATTATTAAGAGAAAAGAGAAGACAACTAATAAGCAAGGAAAGACAGACAAATTAGAGAATGAAAAAATAAGGGAGAAATTATATAAGGAAAATCATCCGTCATGGATAATTGTTTGGTCTGGTTTGGTAGTATGTTTGCAGGTTTGATATTTTGTACATATTTTAAAAACTAGATTGCTAAATACAATCGAGGTGAGAGGAAAAGATGAAAAAAAAAAACAACCAAATAAAATCTAAAGTTATAAAAGAATTTTTAAAAATAAATTCAAATAACATTCAAGAAGTTTCTCCAGCACCTAAGAGGAAAGTCTTCTTGCAACTCCATACACTTCTATGAAAATGAGGAAGAAGTCTGCTTTGTATGAAGCATAAGCATTTTCCTAGTTTAAATCTATAAGGAAATTTGCATGACCACAAACTCTTAAGTTTTTTAAATGACTAGGATATAAAAGGAGAAAGCCCAAAGCAACTTGTGGGTGATGTCTAATGTTTTAATGTCTAATACTTACCACATGTTAAGTTCATCTCTGCTCCAAAGAGTTTTAAAAATACTAATATATAGGAGTATCATATAAAATTATTTTACTATTTGTGTTCTTATTTAAATAATCATATTTCTGTCAATATTGATATTTGAGCTCCTAAATATTGACTTTTTGTATCATCAGGGAAATGTCAAAGGACACTCAGAAAGTAGTTTTATAAAACTTCCTAGCGCAAGAACTTTGTTGAACTATCAAGGGAAATAACGGTAAATTAAAAATTCTTTGCCCTGGCTTTCATTTGTGCCTAAAAACCCAGGCCGAAGCATCAGCTGATGCATTACCATCAGATTATTTACTTCACAGATCAGTGACTAAGTTTATTTGAGCCCGGTTTTCATGGAACAGCATGGATTTTTCTTTTTCTTTTGAAATCTGGTAAGTATAAGTTTACAGGTGTACCTGTTTCCTGCTGTTCTGAAAACGCGACCCGGCTCTCTCTGTGACAGGATCACACCACAGCTCGTAGCCACTCTGGGCAATAATCTGCAAATGATAAAGTCTTTACAGAGCAGACCTGCATGTGTACTTGCAGAAAGGTCTCTGTCAGACACAGCCGGTGCCTGTGATATCTGAGAGTAGGTCAGCAGGACTGGCTCGTTCACCAGCTCAGGAAGCCAACTTCCAAAGGCAAGAGCAGAACCCTCTGCGTGTGACTCTGATGGAGCAGATGGTCCTTCGGGCTTCCCTAAAGCCAATGGTACCAAATAAAAGAGAACATCCTCTACCGTTGAAACTGCTACGTGGCTTTAAGAGGAAGAAAAATGCCAAGCATGGACCTTAACCCCCAGATGACAGCAAAATGGGCAGAAAGCAAGCCATCTCAAAAATGTCAGTGGAAATAACTTCGAGACCACTGGGAAATGTTTCAACTTGGAATAAAACAAAACAGTGTATTTGGCAAGTAAGCATGGGATGTGGAGTATTAACTTCTGTTCCTGAGCTGGGATTCTTAAAGCATCGCACACACATGACACCCTCACGGACACTGGATAAATGGGGAAGAATTTTCTTAGCTGGAATAAATAGCACTCATCTTTACCAAAGGAAGTTTCAAAGCCCGAGACCTTATTTGGACAAAAACATTAAATATGTTCTTATATAAACCTGGCCCTGGGCCATTTATTCAGATAAATCATATTTTCTCACTTTAAGTTCTTGAATTCTAAAGTTTGCGACAGAGAGGGCAAAAGAAGCAAACTTAAGAAAGATTAAATAGCATAATCAGGTAGCAGAACTTGAATGCAAGTGCTGTGAATCCCAGGAAACTTGGGACTTCATTATTTATTTTTTTAATATCATTATATGAAAAAAGTAATTTATGCAACATTTTATGTTTGATTAAAATAACATAAATATGATAAATACACCTTTGTCCTTACTGATATATGTATTAAGCACTTTGAACCTGAGGAGTTTTTGAAAAAATGAAAAGTATAACCTACTCAATAAAGAAAAGACAAACATTTAAGGTGATGGGTATCCCAGTTACACTGATTTGATCTTTATAAATCACATGAATTTGTTAAGTTAAAGCATATACTTCCAAAATATGTACATCTATTATGTATCAATAAAAAATTTTAAAGCCCCACAAAATTGCTGTGTCAAAAAAACAAAAAAAAAGCATGAGCTGTTCAAGAAAACTAACTCCATTAATTCACAGATTTGTTTTATTTTAATCAAGCACAAAACTATGGCGGTATAATGGGGCTTGTTATTATTTTCTGTTGCAATTATTTGGTTATTTTATAATGCTTTTACCTAGATTAACTTCATTCTCTTATATGTTTTGTTTCTATATAACTTTAAGCCTATATAAAAATCACAATAATGTTTAAAATTTGATTTTCTGTCACCATTACGGACATTTAAGTAACTCTTTAGGAAATGACAAGTGAGAAGGAAAAAATCCCCATTTGCAGCAATAGCATCAACACTGGTAGAACTTCAGTATAAGAACTACTCTATAGTTTAAACCTTGTGACTATCTCCATAACCATCTATGAATGGATACATATATGGCTACAAATGAGCTTAGACTCAAGAGAGATGAAATCGGTCTCCATTCTATGTGTTTTACATTTCAATCTCCTTCTGCCCCTTGCCAGTGCTCCAGATTGCTTTCAGTCCAGTCAGACTCTACTTCAAAGACAAATCATGAATCAAGTTTAGGATAATAATAACAATAGTTAATAGTAATTGGGCACTTATTTCACTCTGAGGTGTGCTAACTCTTCACATTTATTTGATCATTTAATCCTCACAATTCTACGAGGTACGTATCTTTACTACATTTTAGGGATCTAATATGCACCCCACACACATGCTGACATCTCTGAAATTAGGATGCATCCTCCAAAACAGAGGAGTCATTGAATTCTGCTTTCTTAGTTAAATATAAATTAATGGTGCATTTACAATTAACGATGTCTTAGAATGGAAGACACATAGCCCTTTCCTCATTTTATGAAGCTTTAAATTAAGTCTAGAGAGGTTGAAGAACTTGTCCAGGGCCACGTGACTAGAGGAACTTAGGCAGTCTGGCTGCAAAGCACACACGGAAAGCCATTCTTGCCTCCCAAACTCTTCTCTATCAGTCTCCCTGGCCCCTTTCCGGGGGCATTTCTCACAAAATCATAAGCCCTCCCTCAGGAATGAAGTTCATACAGTCTACATTTAAATCCATCTCTGGGTTATACAAAAATCAGCAACTCTAAAAGACCAGGAATAGAAAAGACTATTTTGTCTTAAAAGACAAGAAAAGGAAGAAAGAATAAGATAGGGGAAAAAACCCAAACTCAAACAATCACTCCTGACTTTATATAAATTCAAACCTTCAATTTAAAGAACTAAACTTTTAGACCAGCTAAATTAAGAAAGAGATATTCATTTAATGAAGCCTCAAATGCTAATTTATGTTTGAGATTATATCCAATTACCAAAAACAGAAGAGTATAGACGGTTTTTAATATTTTCCTTTTTTTAAACTATAAATTTAGTCGATCAGAAAAACTCTTCTGTGGTTTTTGAGTTAAACGTACAATAAAAACATTGAGAACACAGCCGCTATACTATAGAAAGAGTATGACTACTAGCATTGTCTCTGGTAACTCTCTTTTCTTTCTATATTTGTTAAATCATTTCAGTAAGTGTGTCAAATAAAGTGTAAAGTGACATCAGTTGACAAATAAATGGCAACATGTTCATGTTCAATTTCAATTGCTGAAATTTAAAGCAAAGAACTCATCAAGCTTACATGTTTTTTACTGCTTATATTTAAAAAATTTACAGATCAAATATTTGCATTTTAAAATATACTTGCTACCAAGTACATAAATAAATCTTGCTATAGTGTTAGACATTTTTACTTCTTAGAAACATGTAGTTGCCTTTGTAAAAGGAATTTAGTGGAAGAATACTGTAAACACTTACTCTGGTATCTTCATGTTAGAAAGCATTAAATCCTTTACTGATATTAAACTTGTAATATCGTTTTGGGGCTCAGTTATTCAGGCAACAATCATTTATTAATTGACTGCCATGCATCAGAAGCTGAGCTCAGCACTGATATCCACAAGGGACCAGAATGGCGATCTTGCCTTCCAGGGTTTCACATTGCAGAAAAATGTGTAGATAGATAAAGATATCACAGTGCTGCATGGCATCATAGGCATATTAAAAAAAGAACTACAGGAGAAGTTGATTCAATTTATACTCAGTTGCACATAGATGCAGATATGTGCCTTATTTTCAGACGGTCTAAGCTTCAAGTTTTACATGATTACCTCTTATAAGAATTTTTAAACCACTAATCTGCTGTTTACTTCTTCTTTTCTGTCACTTCTTCAGCTTATTAGTATCTTTGCTGATTGACTGCCTGTACTATTTACCACTCAGACAAAACAAAGGGAAGGACATTTGAAGCTGCTTCTTCAAACACATTTTCAAATGCCCATACCCCCCACTCCACCTATTCCACTGCATGACAAATGGCAGCGTGAGCCAGTGTGGTGGCTACGTCCAGTTACTGGGGAAGCTGAGGTGGGAAAATTCAGCCTGAGCAACACAGTGAGACCTTCGAGGTAACCGCGACGATCCGGTGCTGGTCACTGCCTGCAGCCCGACCAGCTAGAGCTGAAGCAGGGCGAGGCATTGCCTCACCTGGGAAGCGCAAGGGGGAAGGAATCCCTTTTCCTAGCCAGGGGAACTGAGACACACAACACCTGAAAATCGGGTAACTCCCACCCCAATACTGCGCTGTAAGCGAACAGGCACACCAGGAGATCATATCCCACACCTGGCCGGAGGTCCCAACCCACCGGAGCCTCCTCATTGCTAGCACAGCAGTCTGTGATCTACCGGCAAGGGCAGCAGCGAGACTGGGGGAGGCGCGCCCGCCATTGCTGAGGCTTAAGTAGGTAAACAAGCTGCGCGTGGAAGCTCGAACTGGGTGGAGCTCACAGCAGCTCAAGGAAACCTGCCTGTCTCTGTAGACTCCACCTCTGGGGACAGGCACAGATAGCAACAAAACAAGCACGAATCCTCTGCAGACGCAAACGACTCGTCTGACAGCTTTGAAGAGAGCAGTGGATCTCCCAACACGGAGGTTGAGATCTGAGAAGGGACAGACTGCCTGCTCAAGTGGGTCCTGACCCCTGAGTAGCCTAACTGGGAGACATCCCACTAAGGGCATCTGACACCCCACACCTCACAGGGTGAGTAACACCCCTGAGAGAAGCCTCCAAAGCAAGAATCAGACAGGTACACTCGCTGTTCAGCAATATTCCTTCTTCTGCAGCCTCTGCTGCTGACACCCAGGCAAACAGGGTCTGGAGTGACCTCAAGCAATCTCCAACAGACCTACAGCTGAGGGTCCTGACCGTTAGAAGAAAACTATCAAACAGGAAGGACACCTACAGCCAAAACCCCATCAGTACGTCACCATCATCAAACCAGAGGCAGATAAAACCACAAAAGTGGAAAAAGCAGGGCAGAAAAGCTGGAAATTCAAAAAATAAGAGCGCATCTCCCCGCAAAGGACGAGCTCATCGCGCAGCAACGCCCGTCAGCTGACAGAGAATGACTTGCGAGATGAGAGAAGAAAGGCTTCAAGTCCATCAAACTTCCAGAGCACTAAAGGAGGAATTCGTACCCAGCACTAATAGAAACTAAAAATCTTGAAAAAAAAGTGGAAGAATCTGATGGCTAGAGTAATAATGCAAGAAGTCCTAAACGAATGAAAGACGATGAAACCATTGACATCGAGAAATACGTGACAATGCACAAGCCTTCAGTAACCGACTCATCAACTGGAAGAAAAGTATCAGCAATTGAGGATCAAATGAATGAAATGAAGCGAGAAGAGAAACCAAAAGAAAAAGAAGAAAAAGAAATGAACAAAGCCTGCAAGAAGTGATGGGATTATGTAAAAAGACCAATCTACGTCTGATTGGGTGCCTGAAAGTGAGGGGAAATGAACCAAGTTGGAAAACACTCTGCAGGATATCATCCAGGAGAACTTCCCCAACCTAGTAGGGCAGGCAACATTCAAATCCAGGAAACTAACAGAGAACGCCACAAAAGATACTCCGCGGAAGAGCAACTCCAAGACACATTAATGCCAGATTCACCAACAGTTCGAAA